AAGGTACTGTGTCATGCCCATAGCACCTACTCTAATGCCACAACAGGCAAGCATGGAAACACACATGAAATTGTCAATATTTGTGCTTACGCTAAGAATTACTAATTTTCTCACATAGGCACTTCAAAGTGGATAACAATATTCAGGGGTTAAACAGAATATATGGATGCAAAAACAATCCTTTAAGATTAAAAGTTTGATCTCATAATCACCTTTGAGAAGTGGTCTTATTGTACAATTATGACTATCTTCCATTCCAACCCCCAAACAAGTGGCTTTCATAAATGCTTCTGTGAGAAGCTCTAAAAGATTTAAGCTAATGGTAGAAAAGCAAAAAGCCAAATTTTTCCTAAGTATAGCAAGAGTCTACAGTGGAAAGACTATGCTCTCTGGGAGTCAGAGAGAAACATTTTTGGGTTCCAGCTCTGCCCCACAACTATATTTGTGTGACCTTAAGCAAAACATTATCTTCTGCTTCCTCATCTGAAAAACTAGGAAGATAATCAGTGAAAGAGTGAAAGAATGAAAGAACAGCTTTTGTTTTTGTTATTTTTGTTTTTTTGTGGGTTTTTTTCAGGAAGATTAGCCCTGGGCTAACATCTGCCGCCAATCCTCCTCTTTTGCTGAGGAAGACTGGCCCTGAGCTAACATCTGTGCCCATCTTCCTCTATTTTATATGTGGGATGTCTGCCACAGCATGGCTGACAAGCAGTGTGCAGGTCCGCACCCAGGATCCAAACTGGCAAACCCCAGGTTGATGAAGTGGACTGTGCGAACTTAACCACTGCACCACCGGGCCGGCCCCTACAGCTTTTGTTTGCAAATGTGGATGTTATGACCTGAACTGTGTCCTCCTCAAAATTCATATGTCGAATCCCTAATACCCAAAGGGACTGTATCTGGAGATAGGGGTCTTTATGGACGTAATTAAGCTTACATGAAGTCATAAGGTTAGAGCCCTGGTCTTATAGAATTAGTGCCCTTATAAGAAAAAACTTGAGTGAGCGAGTTTGCTCCCAGCCACGTGAAGAAACCGCAAGAAGGCAGCTGTCTGTGAGCCAGGAAGAGTGTTCTCACCAGAAACCAAATCTGGGGGACCTTCATCTACGACTTCTGACTTCCAGAACTGTGAGAAAATAAAATTCTGTGGTTTAATCCATGCAGTCATTGGTATTTTGTATTGGCAGCCCAAGCTGACCAAGACAGTGGAATTAGCACCATCCCGGTGTTTCTTGAGATAAACAACTGTCAGGATCAGAAATATGGTATTCAGTGCTGTGACTTCCCACTAATAAGATAACCCCAGAGTGAAAGCCGTTTGTCTTGTTCTTTAGAATATTCACAGAGCGGGGAAAAGGAAAGCTAATATTGGGAAATAACCATCCACAAACGTTAGATAGACTGACTTTAGAGAAATGTGCAAGTGTGTGTGTAGTTGTGTATGGATATGTGTAACATATGTGATGAATACTCTTAGTGGTTAAAAACAAGGGTTTGGGGAACATTGTTGCCTGGATTTGAATCATGGCCTTGCTACTTACTAGCTGTGTGTCTTTAGGCAAGTCACTTAAACTCTCTGAGCTTCAACATCTTTATCACTAAATTGGAGAAAATAAGAGTCCTTCTCTCACAGTATTGTTATGAGGATTAAATGAATTAATACAGGGTAAGCTCTTAGAACACTGACTGGTGCTAAGAGCTTCATATGGGTTCATTACCATTATACACCCACTCACACAGACACACAAATTGACAGAGTTTTTACCAAAATATAGAAAAGAAAAAAAGAAAAAAATCTAAAGCAGAGCATTTCTGCACCTTTTGCACCCATTTCACAAAGCCCATACAATTTCCCTATCCTACCAGACCCTCCAAAAAACTAAACTCTGGTTAATTTCTAAAATTTCATAATTACTTTCAAACTTATTGGCCACTTGTACCTGGAAAAGTGTAGAGAAACAATTAGGATGTGGAATAAGAGATAAGGGGCTGCAAAAAAGGGGAATTATAGAGTAGGTTGAAATTAAAGGGTTAAGAAAATGCTAGATGTAATCAGTTCACAATTACTTAAAGGTAAAAAGAGTTCTATGTAAATTTTCTATCATTTTCATACTACTGGTACTATTATCCAGAAGAAAATATTTTCCCCAAATCATAACTGATCCCAATATAACTGAGTTTTTGTTGTCACATTTATGTTTTTCAGGGCTGGTTCTAGATTTCAAGAAAAAATAATTGTGACAAGAGTCTACGAAGACACTTCTTCAAAACAATCAAAACGGGGGCTGGCCCCGTGGCCGAGTGGTTAAGTTCGCGCGCTCCGCTGCAGGCGGCCCAGTGTTTCGTTAGTTCGAATCCTGGGCACGGACATGGCACTGCTCATCAGACCACGCTGAGGCAGCGTCCCACATGCCACAACTAGAAGAACCCACAACGAAGAATACACAACTATGTACCGGGGGGCTTTGGGGAGAAAAAGGAGAAAAAAAAAAAAAAAAAACAATCAAAACGTTTCCCGTTTTCTCTCATATAAGTCAAACCCAAACTCCTGTTTTTCTATTTAGGATTCATCTTTGCAAGATTAACTCTGACCCAAGGTGCCAAATTTTCTCTCAGGGAATTTTTTCCTCACCAGAAATTCAGCTCCCGTAACAGTGGGATCTCCTCACTGTGCGAAGGGGACAAATTGGTCTAACTGGGCACAATAAAGCATATTCAACTGATTTGCTATATGCTGAGTGGGAACATTCAAAACAGCTTTTTCCTATTATTTTCATCAATTTTAGAGGGATCTTTAATCTGGGTTATTTTTCATACACTTGGTCATCAACTCAGAAGATTGATTTTGTTTATAAAGAGCTTTTTAGTGGCCAGTAAATTTTATATGCTTTCCTGGTAAGAATTTAAAGATTTTATTTATAACCACTAAATTATATGTCATCAGTCCCTTTCAATTTTACAAGTGATTTGAGTTTGATGTAAAATTTAGAAACTATCAATTTGATCAACTGTATACCTGCCGTGATTGAATAAGGCACCAAGTAGTATAATATGTGACAGAATCTTTCTAAGTAATATTAGACGAAGAAAAAGAACAAATACCCAAATATTTATTAGACTCAGCCACTGGCAATAATTCTTAGGAATTCCTTTTGTTCCTTATCATTGATCTTATTTCACTGTTGATGTGAAAATCTAAGTAAAATCTATGGAGAGTGTGTGATCAGAGAGACTACAGAACAATTTATTCTTTTTTCTTTCATAAAAGCACCAATTTACAAAATGAATTTTTTGGTAGGTTAAAATAATATTAAACAAAACAGTTAACTGAAAAAATTACAGCAAAAAGCAATTACAAGGAATCCAGAGACAACTGGAAATCCATTTATTGAAAAGTGTGGGCATGTCATCAGCCAAGTGGCTAATACTGTAACATTTTATCTGTCTCAGTTACTTTTAATACATGTTTTGTGTGTTTTCTCTCTGTCTCTCTATATATTTTTCCAAACATAATTTCAAAAATTAGGAGTTATCTGCCTGTGGAAGCTCCAAATTCATTTAAGTTAAGAGGGCAATGAGGGGTTGTTTTAATTATTTGGTAACTGAAATAATAAGACCAGTCGAGCTGATTAACTATTCCAGCGTGGATTTGGCCAGCACTAATGTTTAATTTACCTAAGTAAATACATGCTCACTGACAATTACTCATCATTAATAGTTTTACAAATATTACTGTTTAGTAGATATTGATCTTATGAAAATATTTTAAGTGGAAGCCAGCCGGAACAGCTAGGCGATTAATGGAAATGTTAGCCCTGGGGGGACATTTCCGTGCACTGCATCATTTCTATTGCTCTGTGCTTGAAGCCCTAGCAATGTTCTCTTAAGCAGAGGCATGGTATAAAGAGCCAGAGACAAACCTGAACACAGGGTAATGAAATAAAATACTAGTCATGCAGGCAACTTTCTGCTCTTTGTGGGCCTGGATGTTTAATATTTTTCGAAAGTTTAAAAGTGTTCTTGTTGAAAAGAATATTTTCCCCAATCTCCAACATGGGGCCTTATGAGACGTGATGTTTGCAAGGAGGTTCTGCTGAGGCTGGATGTCAAAAGCAAGAGACAAATTACACAAGCAGTACAATTTGAAACAAGAAACACTGACAACATTGACTATAACCAGTTATGAGTATTTCCAAACTCCCCCTTCTTTAAAGAATATAATATCCTCAAAAAATAAAACTCGCAAACTATTCTTTTCCTTCTCTAGCATTCCGCTAATTATTCTTAGTGTAAAATAATGGAATACTAATTTATGAGGCTACAAATCATGGTAACACAAATTCATATCTACCCGTGAATTGATGGATAACTCTTATTTATCTCCAATTTCCTTTGTGTAAAACCATCCCTGTTTCTCTACCCAAATGAGCTTTTAGCAAATGAGTAGAAAGAGGAGAAAATACTCCAAATTAAATCAGCATCTGATTCATGGAATAAAAGTTTCTGACTTCAAAATTAATAATAGTAATGCCTTAAAAAAGTTGACCTAACTTTGTTTTTATTTATTAAAAGAAGCTCATTGTAGAGAGAAAGCACACATAATTTATGATTTTTCTCTCTAGAGCTACAGAACTTTAATCCATAGCTCATGAAAGGTTGCAAGAACAGCTTGAAAATTATGCTGAGCTTAATTATACTTAATGTGAATTATTCAGAAGTGCAGACAGAGACTAAAAATTTATTTCATACAAAGAAGCTTGACATTTTAATTGGTCCTTCAGAATAGAGACAAAACAATTTCCTCTCAAGAAAATTTACATCTTCCCTATCAGAGCCGCAGCCTCAGCCAAGCAGAACTTCATTAATAAGATTAATTATCATGCCAGTGTCTGCTTCATCAGGTGTATGGCCCAGGTGAAAGGAGGAATACAAAATAATGACTGACATTTCTAAGAGGATTGACTCAAGGAGGGAAAAAATGACAGATTGAGCCACCATACCTTGGTCATTAGCCATTTTGTCAGGGTGTTCCACTGTGGGGAAAAAAGAAACAACGTTATTAGACTTTCACAGTTCCCATCAAGAAAGCAGACATTTCAAATCAGGAGTTTTGTTAGCAAGTTCTCATATCAAGGCCAATGCCCTATTGAAACAAAATTGATAAGCAATCAAGGTTAACGTGATTATTTCTATTAAATAGAGGAAAAAAGTGGAAAATAACGGTTTTGCTGTACAAATGTGTTCTAAAAAATGCTATTTGTCACATTCCTCTAAACATAAACTCAGAATGATCATCATGCAAGTCTAATTAAAAACACAATTAAGAGTAAAAAATGCATGTGATTACCAAGTAATTATCACCCATATATTTTAAATAAGTTAAGGAAGCTATGTTCTTGTATTCATTTCTTTTCAACAAAAAAACTTAACCAATTCTCACATGGATAGGGTAAAATAATAAAATATCATAAATATGGTTTAGTATAAATGGTTTCATAAATTTTTAGACATTGTGAAGAAAAGTCTTGAGCTGTTCATGATTTCAGATGAGTGATGAATAGTGTTCTTGAAAATAATATTTAAATGTTAAAACATCTCTAATTTGGGGGAGGCTTCTTTTCTCTTAACCACATATAACTAGAGAGGAGGTAAATCTCTAGTACCTCTGCTTTTCTAGAAATTGTGATATGACATTTTGACCAGTGTCGATCTTTGTAAGTCTTCATCAATTAGAATTATTTCACATATATTTGAATTTCTTTGAGCTTTGAGACTTTTGGGCATATTTAACTCAAGTGTAGTCAAACTTGATGTGTAGGCTACTACACTTGCTAGTTTCTTCTTGTTTATGTCTCAGTTAGGCTCACACAGAGAAAAATGTAATAGCATTCCCATGGAAAGCAACCTATAACCTAGTCACTTCTTTCATTATGCGAAGTAGTCTCATTAGCACATCCATCAACACTGTTTGAAAAATAACTTAAAGCAGTTGCCTTACAGGTGGTGGTCCTTCCTTTTCTAAATGAAGGCACATGAATCATTGTCCAAAAGACTGCATAGATTTGAAATACTTAAACAATGATGTAGTTAACAAAGCCTCCTTCAGATGAACAAGATTTATCAATGTCACAACATAGAAGGACAAGTTTCTAAACCAGAAATAATTTATAATTTCTTTCATTTTAAAATAATATGTAGACATATTCTGTGGAAAGGATATACTAAGAAAGACATCTTAACAAGTAGTAGACTTTTAATTTTGAATCACTTTTTGGAAAATGGTGTACACAAGAGTGCTTATTATATTAAGATTTTATAATCTTTAAATAAATTTTATAAATGTCTTTGTATCTCCTCAAGATTTAACAAATATTTTTCAATTCACCAGGCCATCTAATCCAATCTTTTCTAATCTAATCATTGCAATTTAATTTTTATCTTGATTTTCTCTCTCATTTCCCATTGAAGAATAATGACGTCTCAAAATACATTTTATTATAATATTAGGGGGTTGTTGATGAAAGGTGCTTTTAACAGGCAACTGCATCCTCTGTAGTTTATAGACAAAGATAGGATTCTAATGTAGCTTTTTAGGAAGGACACTATATTGTAGGAAGTGCCATACCAGGTCTCCAGTAAGAATAAGGAAGAATATGTCAGGATCATATGTGACCACACAATCCAGGAAGGGTTAAAAGTTTGGAAGCTAGAACAGGACACACTTGAGAAACTATCTCAATCGGTATCTTACATTTATGGAAAACTGTTTGAAATGATATCAAAAAAAAGAGAAGAAAACCAATCTCATCTCCTTTCCATTCTTCATCTCTCCCTTTGTCTTTAATTATATACATGCATTATCTACCCCCTAAGAAACTTTTCAAGCAAGTGACAAATAAATGTATCTTATAGTGGACAATCTCACCCTTGTTCTTTTCTGGATTTATTTTACTGTTAGTAAATCTGGACTGGCTACAACTTAAGAAATTTTGAAGGGCTCAAGAAAGGTTACCCAATAAAGTGTATTTCCCAAGAAGGACCAAATATACTCTAAAAATTATTTTTCATTAAAGACAAAAAATGGCTTAAAAGTATTGTAATTTGTGCCTTGACTTGATAATTGCTCCTGTCATTTGTCAAGAAAATCATGTATTTTGCCACAAAATAATTTGAAGACTAAAACTTTTTTGTGTTCTGGTACAGAGCTTTCAGTTCTATATCCTTGGATGGGAGAGATGCACATTTCAGAATGACCATTAAGGATTTCCAGAGAATACACCATACTCTACAGCTCTTTTACTGCTTAAGATTCTGCTTCTCAGTGTATAGGAGATAACTTCATCCTTCTACAGAAATTTTCTTTGGTTCACTCCATCGGGAGCATCCTTCCTGCCTTATGTGATAGGCCAACATGGAGAAGCTTACTTTACTGGAGGGAACAACCTACGTGATAAGCAGAGATAAGCACGCCTTTTATATATCTTCCAAGGGTTCCTCAGTGTGTAGGTACCATAACACAGAGGATTTGGGAAAGGGAGGTAGGTATTTGCAGAATCTTATCTGGTCAGAAAATCACGTTCAGCACTCTTTTAATTAACATTCCAAAGAAAGAATCACATACGCCACATATATGGATGTACATAAGGGTACAGTAATTTAATCCCCTTTTAATTATAAATATTCTTTTAATTAACCGGTGCTACTGATTGAGTTTCCTGTATCTCTCTGTCTGGTGGCTAAAACCAAAAAGACAAACTCTAGTCTCCAGTAGAAAATGCTTCTATCTTTGCAAAGACTGAATGTGAAAGGATAAAGCTGGAGGACACCTGCCTGGGGCATGATTTGCAATGAAACACTTGCCTATTACCCAGTAGACTGCTGAGAGTTTCCTCAGCTTCAGGACAACATGTCAGCCTTTCTCTCTGTCAAACAAAGTTACATCTGAAGAACAGAGGCCTTATGTTTTCAAGTAGCTTTGGAAACTGAAAATCTTAAATCAGAGACCAATAGCGTAATTTTATGTCTTTTAGGGTAAATTTGGTTCATTGTGGCTTCAAATCTCTTATGATGAGTAATTTATTTACCTTAGAACATTTGTCATTGTAAGTAACATGTAAGATGCATGCATGTACAATATTAATTATTGATAAAGATGGGCAATATCAATGTTTCTGAATAATTTTAAATGTGCTCCAGACATCTGAAACTTAGTTTACCACATGAGCAAGATTTGTTTAAAAAATCTAATAGACTGTTAATCTAGCATGACATACTTAGAGTAGACAATGTTAAACACTCAAATGAGGATATTAGAAATAACTCTTGTGGACTATTATGACATATAACAAATTCCTGAATTTGTTCTTAGTTCAGAACATTATTTCATAGATGAGTTTAGGGCACTTGGGGTAAACAGTACCAAATGAGTAATGGAGTTCATTAAATAATATGCAGGCTGATTACCAGTGTGGCCTGTAAATCCTATGATAACTCATCACTCTGCTGCTTAATACATTTGGATGCCTTAAGTCATCTTAAACTCTGCCTGAGATCTCTAGTTGGCACGAATTGTGAGCATGAAATTAATTTGGCTCTTGTCTATAGATAAAGATGAAGTATTGTGAAACATTATCTGGTTACATTTCATGTTCCCACAAAATGAATAACCAGTTTTCTTTCGATTGCTCATTTGGAGTGAGACTGATTTCAACATGAAATCTGAAAAACCTGGGTAGATAAAGATTAGCACCTTTCCTTGTGCCTCCCTCTTAGCTTCCACTCTGTCGTTAAGAACTGTCAAGCCTGCTTAGGCTGAATGCTCATTTGTGTGTTCTTGGCAAACTTTCAGATTAGCTGTTACCAAATCCAGCTTTCGAATAGTTCACTCAATCAGAATTCAAAAGTTCACTATTTATTAGGGTACTTTTCCTAAGAGAATTGAAAAATAGACTATATAGTCATTCTAAGACGCTTCTGGGTGAAAATGTCAATCAGGTACGTGTTTCTAATTTTCCAGTTGTTTGCCATCATGTATTACTAAGTTTTCAGCCAGATATATAGGCATAGGCTCAGATTTAAGAGCCAAGTGTCCTTTAGAACAATACACATCATGCCTCAAATATACAACTTTAAATATCAGCTATGGAACATTCAAATTATTCTCAACTGTTAAATAACAGAAGCTCTTGAAACCATTTGTCCTCCAGAAAAATAATACTGTGTTCTAAAATAGAAAGGGCTTATGTGAAGATTATTTTTATGTAGTCACTATTCTTGGGGCTTAGCATTTTTCTGTATGAACATATAACGATCCTTAAATTGAGTAGCAATTTTTATTCTTGCAAGCATGTTGAGTTTTCATCTAGTAATCATAGTGCAAGATTTTTTTTTATTGCTGCTACTCTGGGTCCTTAAAATAAACATTCATTTTGTTCGAGATTTTCTGTCCTGTCATATCAAAATTTCCTTTAATATATAAGAACAATAGTTCTGGAAAGAAAATATTTAAAGTTGGCAATATTACGTCATTCACATAATTCAATGCTTTTTAATTTTTATTCCCTTACATAAAATGGTTAAAGGATTTCATTATATTTTGAATAGAACCAATATACATGAAATCAATACAAAATTCCAAAAGGATTATGATGAAAAAGTCAAGTTAAATATATATGACTTGTGCTGATGGCAGAAAATGTGATAACACAATGGATCTTCCTTTGACATGCTGGCTTTCAGCATAAAAAGGTACATTTTAATTAATGAAATAATTTTTTCCAGTGTATTGAGAAATAATTACCATACCTTACTGTATAAGCGTAAGGTGTACAGTATGATAGTTCGATTGACATATATTGTGAAATGACTACCACAATAGGTTTAGATAACATTCATCATCTCATATAGATACAACAAAAAGAAAAGAAAAAAATTCTACCTGTGATAAGAACTCTTAGGATCTACTCTCTTAACAACTTTCCTACATACCATATAGCAGTGTTAACTATAGTCATCAGGTTGTACATTACATCCCTAGTAATTATTTATCTTACACATGGAAGTTTGTACGTTTTGACCACCTTCCTCCAATTCCCCCTCTGTCAACACCCCAGCTCTGGCAAACACAAGTCTGATCTCTTTTTCTGTGAGTTTGGTGCTTTTTGTTTTTGGTTTGGTTTTACATATAAGAGAGATCATACAGTATTTGTCTTTCTCTGTCTGATTGATTTCATTTAGCATAATGCCTTCAAGATCCATCCAAATTGTCAAAAATGGTAGGATGTCTTTGATTTTTATGGCTGAATAATATTCCATTGTATATATATAACACAACTTCTTTACCCATTCATCCATTGATGGACACTTAGGTTGTTTCCATGTCTTGGCTATTGTAAAAAAATGCTTCTATCAACAAGGGAGCACAGATCTCTTATTGAGTTAGTGTTTTCATTTCTTTTGGATGTATCCCTATAAGTGGAACTGCTGGGTCATATCGTAGTTTTATTTTTAATTTTTTGAGGAACCTCCACACTGTTTTCCAGAATGGCTGCACCAACTTACAATCCCACCAACAGTGCAGAAGGGTTCCCTTTTCTCTACATCCATGCCAGTGTTTGTTATCACTTGTCTTTTTGATGATAACCATTCTAACAGGCATGAGGTGATATCTCATTGTGGTTTTAATTTACATTTTAATTTATTTTGAATGTCCACTGTAGTCATGTTTCCAACAGAGATGACGTAGGGCAATTTTTAACACAGACTCTCAAACTATTTTATAATAACCCAATAGGAAAAGAAAGGCAATAATAGGAAATGATTCAAACCTTTAAGAGTCCTGAAGAGGATGGGATCAGATAGGGGCCCCACTCCTTTGGCATTTCGTGCTTGAATTCGAAAGTAATACATAGTGTCAAGGTTGAGATCCATGATTTGATGAGTAAGCCGATCACCACTGATTGTTTCCATAATCCAGTCATCAATTGGTATGTTCTTGTCCAAGGTATAAAACAAGATGTAAGCTGTGTAAATAGATGAATACAACTTTGTTTAGTGTACTGACTGCATGCTATACTTCTGCATCCAAACATTCATGTTTCCGAAATATAATTCACAATGATTACTTACATGTCCACAATCTATAAACTACAGTATTCAGTTAGGCAAGCAATGATTGTTTTCATATTGCAAGAATTAGACAAATAATTGCTTCAATACACAGAACCTGAAAATGGAATAAGTCATTAGAAATAAAAATATCTGCCATATTAAAAAATGTGAGGTTTCTGCTGCTTATAAATCCTGATTACTGGTTTGTTCTAATATATAAGCATGATGAAAAATGTGAAACATAGATAACAGGTCTGTATAATTTTCACTGTAGTCCAATAATGAAAATAAATGTTTATTTTGGTTTGTGCTTAAATAACAAGAATACATTGACAAATTTAAAATGTTACACATAAAGTGTTATAAAAATAAATGATATTTGATTATTGTAATGACTCTGTGAGGTCGGCAGGGGCACTGTTGCTTTCCTTCACAGATTATGAAGCTGAGGATGACCCAAGCTAGGTGGTGAAAGGGCTAGAGAGGGCTAGAATAATATCCTCTACTGCCATACTAAAAATCCAACACTGTTTCCGTTAGTGCAGGATTTGCCTAGTGCATCCCACCTAGGCAAAAAGAAAGAAAAAGTATTTCTGGATAATCATAGATTATTTAGTTATCTCAAATATTAATAATCTATCACTTGATAGTATCATTTACCCTCTGCATAAGGAAATATGATGCTTGAATTCTGGTTGTGTACTCAGCGGCAATAGTCTAATATGCACCCAAACAAATCCAGGTAGCCCTGTATAATATTCACATTTGAACACTAAGTCAATATGGAAGCTAGCTTTTATTTAAAAGCATTAATTCATAATTTTATATTACACTATCTGATGAAACTGCAAAAGAGCTCATCACAGGTGTCTTTGCTACGTGAATATGGTGCCAGGCTCCATTTCTATCAAAAGTCTGCAGTGATATCTGCACCAGATAGGCCACAAAAGTCCCTAGGTCTATTCTTATGCACTGAATACATTCTTTGTAAATTACATTTTAAAAGCAAGTGTATTTCTTTGATTCACTTATTCCTTTCTTTTGAGTCTCGTTTGCCCCATCTGGACTGGGGAACTTTACACATAGATCTGTCAATGATTATGTCACAGGATTCTCTGACTCAGATTCACTTCCCTCCCCAAATAACTATGCGCACTACCTACATCTCAGCACAAACCCTTACTCCAGGAAGACTGGTCTCCATACTATGCTTATTCCTACCTCCTGCTTATTCCTCACACCATGCCTCCTTTCCTCACTTTCTCTAGCCAAATCCTACCCATCCACCAGGGTCTAGTTTAAGCTACATCTAACATATGAAACCTTCTTCCATAGCAAGCCTCCTTTCTGTAAACTTTGTAATACACATCAAGAAAGTGTAAGAGCATTTATATGATTCTGTATCGTTTGTCACTTAATCCCATAGTGATTTACAGAATTAGGCCTGGGTTTGGGGGATGCATTCTAGACAATGAACTGAAATTTCTTCCTTGAGATTCTGTGGGATTAAGCAAAGTTGCAAACTCCAAATTCAGAAGTCTATTTCCCTTAAATTCAGATCAATGTTGAAAACTTGCATCTATTTTGCTTTGGTTCTCACCTTTTCCCAAGTTTGGTGTTTTCCCCAGATCTGCCTAATCATAAGAACTACCTGGGGGCTGAGTACAAATTACAAAACAGAGACTCCAAGAAAGGGCATTTTGATTCAATAAGTGTGGCAAACAGAGTCTTTGCTGGCCCCAATTATCCCTACCTCCTGGTAGTCACACCTTTGTGTAAACCTTTTTGTCTGAGTCTACACAGGACCTAAGTCTTGCTTTTTCCCAACAGAATGCAGCAAATGTGATGGACTATCACTTCCATAATTATGTTAAACAAGATCATAACTTTTTTCTTGCTAGCCAACTCTATAGACTTTCTCCTTTGTTGGCATTGGTAAAACAAACTGTCAGATGGAGAGGACCACGTGGCAAGGAACTGAGGGTAGGCTCTGATCAACAGCCAGTAAGGAACTGAATCCTGCCAACAACCACATAAGCTTGGAAGCAAATATTTCCCCAGTCAAGCCTCACATGAGACATCAACTTAAGCTAACACCTTGACTGTCACCTTATAAGAGACCCTGAAGCAGAGTACCCAGCTAAGCTGTGCTTGGATTCCTGACCAACAGAAACAGTGAAAGAACAAATGTGTGCTGTTTCAAGCTGATAGATTTGTGATAATATTGTTACACAGCAACAGCTAATACAATAGATTAATGGTAACCCTAGTGATCTACACCCCAGATGATTTCTGTGTTCAGGTAAGGTCAGGAATCGCTGCTTTAGCTGATATGTGGAATCTGTGTATTTTTTGGCATTTGTTGAGAAGGTGATGCTGCAGATATCAATGTCTTAAGATGCGGAGAACTCAGGAGAAGATAAAAAGCTTATCAAGATAAAGAATCTCACAAAACTTGGAAAGATTGTTTGACTTTTCCCTCTGGCTAATATTAAAATTGGAGGCATACAGTCCAAAAAGGATTGTGAAATATCATTGTATAAGGGAGTTGTTTTGACTCATGGATGTTTATTCATTTATAACTCAGCCCCCATGATCAACATCAATAAAATCTCCTAATATTCTTTCAGCCAGAGTGCTCTCCATCTTGGTCCCCAAAGAACCACATTGATTAAATAGAAGACTCTCGTACTGGTAATATTTTTTTTAGCTTTTATGATGTGCATATCTTATCTCTTAAAAGAATAAAAACATTCCTTTAGTTCAGGAGCCTTATCTTATATTAATTTTTATTCTTCAAAAAAACTAATAAAATAGTCTTCGCATAATAGGTATTGAAACTCACTTATTGAATGACATACCCCAGCCTGTAACCACATCAGTTTTACACTCATGACATTTAATGAGATTGTCAAAGTTTTCATGGGTTGTTGTAAGTCCATGATGAACCTGAAAGTTTGGAGAATTGTGTTCGCATCCCAGGTCAGCTACACATATTCCTGATTTTCTTCATTTAACAAATGAGAATATAATATTTGCCTTCACTGTGCTTTTTCGTATATAAAAAGTATTCAGTCAAGCATTTGAAAATGACTGTTCTGGCATCAAGTAAATAAGGTCGAAGTTTCAAGCATCAGGTGCTGATAATTCCAAATTGTATTTGAGCACTTTCCTGATATTTATGAGGAAGCCTGTGGTTTTCTGTACATTTGAGAGCTGAGATGGAGAAGAAAAACAGACTATATCATTCAAAACTCTAAAAATTGGCCTTAGAGAAAGTGGACAACTTCAGAGAAAGTGGACAACTTCATTTGGATGTATGAGTTTGGTGTGTTTGGAGGATAGTAACTCCATTATTGAAATCTTCCCTTATAGATTTCCATATAACCACAAAGCTTGGAACAAATTCACTGGTTTCTCACTATCTTTCTGTACCAATATATTCACTTCTCTGTGTCCAAGTCTCCGTCATTCTCCATCTTTTACTCTTTCCTTTTTTCTACTTCATTTTTGTCTCTTACCCACCACTACTAGCCAAACAATGAAGTATTATATTCTATCACAAGCTGTAAGACCTGGGATAGTCAACTCACCTGGGCACTCCCACAATGGAATCACATTTGTCTAAATACATATAAACTGTAATACCATACATCTGTCATTTTGACCCTGCTTATGCAAATAGGTAGTTGTAATTCCAGAGGCAAAGTGTCAGAAAGTGTTCAATTCTACCACTCTTTTTTTCCATACTTCTTCTTACTCAATATTGATTCCCTTTCATGGATCATGTAGACTGCTAAGTACCAAGAAGACCAAGATATGCGACATGACTCCTCCCAGCAAGAAGCTCAGCCCACTGTGGGCTGTTCATCTTTAAAGACTTGATTCTGATAATCATGTATATAGCTAGATATATAATGAAAGAAGGATCCATTTCCTGTTTCTTTGTGGTGAAAAATTGTAGGCTATGGATTCAGGAAGGCCTGACCTCAAGTCATAGCTCTATCATTTACTAGCTTTGCAACCTTGAACAACTTACTTCATCTGTCTCAATTTTCTCATCTGAAAACAAGTTACTGTGAGATAATGCATTTTCATGTATATGAGTATTTCTATTACATTCTACATAGTAATTGCTTATAAATGCTACAGCTATTTATTTATTAATGTTAATAAAGCTTAAGGAAGTGTCTTATTTGGAAGAACTGGAGCTTTGGTTTCAAATCAAACAACAAATTTAATAGAAATTCAATTATTATTCTACTCAATAAATATCAACTACCTACTAAGTATGAAGAATCTTGTTACTGGGGAGAAAGCATTGAACAAAATCTGAAAACTGGGGGCTGGCCCCATGGCCAAGTGGTTAATTTCATGCACTCTGCTTCGGCAGCCCAGGGTTTTGCCGGTTTGGATCCCAGGCGTGGACATGGCACTGCTCATCAGGCCATGTTGAGGCAGTGTCACACATGCCACAACTAGAAGGACCCACAACTAAAATATACAACTGGAGTGGATTTGGGGAGAAAAAGCAAAAAAAAAAAAAAGATTGGCAACCGTTGTTAGCTCAGGTGCCAATCTTAAAAAAAAAATCTGAAAACTGTTCTCATGAAGCTTTCAGCCTTGTACTATAAGCATTTAGATGTTCTCTCATGATTACATGGAAAGAAGATAAATAAGAAAAACTCAAGACGACTAAGTTTCCAACTTTTGCAACTGGGTGAACTGTGGAGGGTTTTGAAATGATGAGAGCAAGAAGATTTGGACACGTGATCACAATGTGGTGCCTAGCTGGGTCCACAATCCTGGGTGGTCTTATAACCTATTACGGAATATAACAGCATTATTTGGCCAGGTATGGTAGGTGATAGGAAAAAAAACAAAGAAGGAGAAGAGGAGAGACAGGGATTGGGGAAATAGAATGAGGTACCAATAAGACAGGTAAGTGGAAATGTACAATATGAGGTAGGATGTGTGTATTTAGAATCCTTGGATGGAGATAGAGATTTCAGAGACATTAGCTTGCATTCACTGAAGCCCAGCTATAATATAGACACTTTTTCAGAGAAGGTAACAGGGAATAAAAAGATCTGCATTTGGGGAAGCAATACTTAAGGAACAGGTGGATGAAATGTCTGCTAAAAAGACTCAGATGCTATAGTCTGGAAGTGGGAATAAAAGTGGTTAGATGACTTTACAAAAGTCAAGAGAGAAGAGAATTTCAAGAAAGCAGAATTGGACTAGAGTATCAAATGACACAGAAAAAGAGAGTATAACCTTTACTGTTAAATCATATTGAGAAGGAACCAATCTTTAAATACCTCATTCCTTCCTTTGTCTATGTTGGTCCTGACCATTTTTGCCACCACCACAGCATGGCCACTGACAGATGAGTGGTGTAGGCCTGTGCCTGGAACCGAACCCGGGCTCCCAAAGTGGAGTGTGGTGAACTTAACCACTAGGCCTCTGGGGCTGGCTGGGTCCTGATCTTAAATATTGTTGCATGCTGCATTTGTGTAGATCAAAGTTTCACATTTCTGACTGTACATTAAAATTACCTGGGGAACTTTTAAAAAGTACCATGCTCAATCCCTCCTCAGATAAATTAAATTGTAAATCAGTTGAGAATTACTGATTAGGGTCAGTAGAATACTAATAAGCTGGAGCAAAACGTAGTGTAATGGTTAAGAGCATGAACTTGAGTTTTAAATCCTAGCTCTGCTGCTTGTTGGTTATTAGACTTTGGGAAAGTTATTTACCTCAGAAGGCCCTCGTCTCTTCATTTCAAAGTGGAATGATAGGAATATGTGGCCACTTAAATACTAAAGTGCTTAGCAGAATGCCAAACATGTAATAAATGCTTAATTCATTCTGAATAATTTTCTTCTGAAAATGTCAGTCCAAATTCCTAAACTGCCAGTTTATGATCAAAGAATTTAGACACTGGAATTGTCTGAATCTCCTCCTTTGTACTCTTTTTTGTTTAATCTTTTTGAAGTATATGTCTTTGCAAATTGATGATCTGGGTTCCATGCAAAGCACATTAGTAAAGCTGCTCCTAGAATGGATTTCAAATTGCAATAATAATAATTTGTTGCAGTGCTCACTGGGCATCAGGGAATTTTCTTAGTACTTTATTATAGCAATTCTACAAAAGAGGTTGTATTGCTATCCTTATTTTATAGATGAGGAAGTGAGACTCTAAGAGGTTAAATAATTTGCCCAGGCATCACCCTCAGGAGCTTGGGTTCTTACCCACCCTGCGTACATGCCAGGACTTAGCAAAACCTAGAAATACAAAGGTAGGATGGGAGCACATCCCTCCATGTAGGCACACAAGTGCCTTGCCACATTTTCCTTTGCACTTTGCATGAGAAATAAAGTGCAGCAAATCTGAGCCCTTTGCCTACTGGTCTGGTATTTTGAATATTTTATCATCCCATTTTCTGGAAGTGTTTTGATTGAATGAATCAAAATATGTAGAGAAAAGAAGTTGTCTTAAAGATTTGTGGGGGATCAGAATTGGCCACCCCAAAACGTGTCTCTTTGGCTTGATTTTTTTTTTTTTTTTTTTTTTTTTTTTAAAGATTTTATTTTTTCCTTTTTCTCCCCAAAGCCCCCCGGTACATAGTTGTGTATTCTTCGTTGTGGGTTCTTCTAGTTGTGGCATGTGGGACGCTGCCTCAGCGTGGTTTGATGAGCAGTGCCATGTCCGCGCCCAGGATTCGAACCAACGAAACACTGGGCCGCCTGCAGCGGAGCGCGCGAACTTAACCACTCGGCCACGGGGCCAGCCCCATGGCTTGATTATTTTTAAGGACAAAAGACTGAAAGAAACTTTGACCTTCCCCCTAACTGCCCAAAAGGATTTAAGATAGAAGGCCTGTTCCAAGAAGGAGCTAATAACATAACTATAGTGTAACATAAATTAGGTGTGCTAGACAGGGAGGAACCTAACAAGGGTCTTTTAATCAAAGTCCTCTCCATCTATCATTGTCTTTGCAAGGCATGGTCAACATTTGTTTACCAAACATTTGTTTTTCCATCTCCATGTAAATTGCCTTCCTCCCCTTTCAAGTCTCAAGACACTACCCCCAACATCCTCCTTTGTCCTTAGCCGAAGACAATATTTAAAGCAGTGGCTTCTGCCATTTTGGCGAGTTACTGTTTTCCTGGTTTCTCCCATGTATACACGTTATTAAATTTGTTTGACTTTCTCCTGTTGTTCTGTCTCTTGTCAATGTAATTCTTAGGTCAGCCAGAAGAACTTAGAGGGTAAAGGAATAGTTCTTCCTCTCCTACAGATTCTTATTATTTACTTCCTATTGAATTAAGTCAAAATATCTCAACTGAATAATCACAACTTGGCTTTAATAAATAAACTAGGTTCTTAAAGGTAAAAAGTGTTGCATCCTACACTTTGGCTATATTATTGTGAGAGAATCGAGTTTTAGTAGTGAGAACTACTCAACATACAACTCTAAATAAAATATGTGGACAAGGATTCTTACACACACACTGTGATTTCAGAACATAGAATTTTATTGCTTAGATTAATTTGCATTTCTTAATTTGGAGCAGGCTTCCACTTTTTCCCTTGAAAAACAAAATTAAGCTTCCTTTCAGAGTTGAAAACACATTCTATTGTTTACATTGACTATTTGATGAGATTTATGTAAATAAGAGTGGAGAACTGGATAGTATATAGCTTATTTTATCCTTTACCAAAAAATATATTTTTTCCATCAGAACCTGTTTTTATTTTGACAACTTCTATTCTGTCTTTTTTCCTTAAACTCATTATCTGTTGATTTATCATATGCTTATAAATAACTGTTATAACATAATAAAATAGACATCATGTAACCAAATCAAAATCTACAAAAATATTGAAATAGAACCCATGAAAATAGATCATAACACTGAGGGAGGAAAAGAAAATTAGAATGAGCCAGCCTCAGTTTTAAAAAGGCTGGCACAGTGACAACTGAGCGTATAAGATTTTGGGGAGAATTTATGTCCCTCTTCTTTTTCCATATTTGTCAGCTCAAATGAAAATTCTGTTTGCTATTGCAGTAAGAGCAATTTCCTAGAGAAAACAAGTCTTCAACTTAAATTTGAATCACATTTGGAATTTCCACATTATCTTTTCACTTTGGAAAATTCAGAAAGCAACTCACATAAAGAATGTGTGTCATCTGAACTGTAATTTTCATGCTTATCTCTGTATCACAGAATGACTGAATTAGTCTGTTAATTTATAATAGTGGCAGCCACCTCTTGTATGCAAAAAAGAAGAAAAAGGAGTGACTCTTGCATGTGCCTAACCCAATGGTTCAAGTTAATTAGACTATAATGTGCACATTTTTAGCTATACAATATTTTTCATAATAATTACATGCTATAGAGACATCTATTAAAAGCCTAAAGTGATCATTTAAATGCAAAATCCCTGATAGAACTCCATTATATTTTTCATACTAAATTAACATTACAGGCTTCTAATGGATGCTTTAATTAGGCACTGATGTTATCAGCAATATTTGGCAAAATAAAATCTGTCACTGTGAAATATCATTAAGTTCAATTTCTGTCAGTTAATATTAAATGTTTTCTGAATCTTATGATTTAAATAAAAGCTAAGTGGGAAGCTAAAAAACCCCAGACAAACCTTCGTTTGTGCCATACAAAAATACATGGTCATTGGTTGTCTTTTGTATTTTACAACTGCCAAAAAATTGGCTTCTTTATAGTCATTTATGCTCAGAGGCATTGCATTAGAATGTTGTCTTAATGCTCCACAGAAGGAACAACAAAAGGTCTATAGTAATTGAAACATACATCTTTCAAGGAGCAACTCAAATGAAGTGTGTATGTGCATATTTGTATGCCCATTAGAAGAATTCCACAGTCAGTAGGGGGCAAGAAGAGACAATCAGAAAGGGTCGGGAAGTCAACTGTGATGCTGGAACAGAAAACTAATATACAAAAGGCATGAGCAGTGCACACAAGTTCACAGGCCAGCAGAATAATGCTGGAAATAAAGCTGAGGTGCTTACCAGTAATTTTCCCATTGGCTTCCAAGGGAGGCTGCCAGCTCACAATGACAGCGCGAGGCTTCCCTTCTCGAGTAATGACTGTCAAATCCTTAGGAGCAGAGGTTGGGGCTGTGAGATGAAACAGAGACAGGGCCTTGTCATTGGATGTGAAAGGAAACAGACTTTTATGGGATTTCTAACCATGATGTTGACACTCAGAATTTATCACGTAGTATAGCATGTTTATTTACAATTTCAAGTATTTGAATTAAATAAGCAAACAAAATACAGAAATTAATGTTTTTCCATGGAAGTTAAATGACTTCCAAAAGTGCGCGTATAGAGAGGAGACTAGAATATGTGTAAATACAGAGGAGAAAAGTATAACTAGTATTTTTGAGTGAGCGCTACACTAAAAATGTAAGAACTATATAAGAAGAAAGAAATGTACAAATACTTAATGAGACTATTGGCTATATAACCACAAGCCCACTAGAGCCAGTTGGAACAGACCCCATCTCTTATCAACAGAGTGATTAAGAATTGTTTTCCAGAAAACTTGCAGTCGCATAGTCACAGCGTGTGCAGAAGAAGAAATCTTGATCTGAAATGACCATGGAACCAGGTTCTTCTACCCATGAAACCAAAGGACGGGGACTTGACCAGAACTTGAAAGTTGGACTCAACAGAAGTGAAAGGTCCACCATCCAGGAAGATCTGGTGTTAAAACTCCTTCCCAACCTTACCATAAATGTTTAAAACCTTACCATGAATATTTAGAACATTATCACAAATGTTTAGAACCTTACTGTAAGTGCTTAAAGCCCACTGTCCTGCTAGTGTTTCCACGTGCCAGCTTGTTCTCCCTAACCTCTTAAATTTTGCCCCAAATCCCAAATCAGGGTTACAGATCTGACAATACATCTCCCCGTTTCCTTGCAGATTGATCTAGTAATAAAGCTATTTTCTTTTCCAAAAAGCTGATGCCATAATTAATTGGCTTTATTATGCACATCAGGTAGGAGAACCCCATTTTTGTGGAGTAAAAGCTAAATGTCTCCAAGAGACAGAATCTGTTACAACTGTAGGACTTATAAATGAAAATGTCACCTAATTCTATTATTTCCTTAAAAGCCAAGGAAAAGAAATAATGCACTTAAACACAGGTCCAAACATCTTGCTCAGGGGCCAGCCCTAGGGCCGAGTGGTTAAGTTCGCGTACTCTGCTTCAGCAGCCCAGGGTTTCGCTGGTTCGGATCCTGGGCACAGACATGGCATCGCTTATCAAGCCATGCTGAGGCGGTGTCCCACATAGCGCTATTGGCAGAATAAAATGAAGACACTTAAAAAAAAATCCTGCTTAGGTAACATACTAGGTATCTCCTAACAAGAAGGCAAAGCAATATTTGAAAATAGAGAAAGTAAAGAATCTATGAGGGTCTTAGTGTCGACCTGGTACGAAGTAAGATGGCACAAAACTCTACCTTTCTTAGTTAGAGGTACTTTTCCCACACGTTGTTGAAGGGAGCGGAATTTGTCAACCCAAAATATGCCTCTTTGGCATAAGGATTATTTCAGCCTGATGATTTTTAAGAAACAGCAGAGATAGGAGAAGCTCTGAAAACCAAGAAGTTACCCTTTTGTAAGAGAAATTTACATTTACAAGGGAAATCATTTCTAAGAATGTCTCCCTGTCTGTACTAGGATGAGGAGGATGACAGAATATCTGGAAACTCTCCTCAGAGGAGAAGGCAGAGACTTAAATCTGCAGAATAACAATATCCTTGTTTACTGTGATTTGCCCGAAAACTTGCCATAACTGGCTCCCAATCCCCCAACATCTTCTTTTCTCTTTAGCTGCAGATAATATTTAAGGAGGAGGCTTGGGCTATTTCAAAGAACTGCTCGGTTTTCCTGGGTATCTCCTATGTATACAGGAGGTACACATGTTATTAAACTTTTGTTTCTCTTTCCTCCTGTTAATCTGTCTTTTATTACAGTGGGATCTCAGCCAAGAGCCTAGGAGGGTAAAGAGAAGATTATTTTTCCTGCTCTACATTGTGCTCAGTGAAATTTTAAAGGTGACACAAACTGGCCAAGCCAGTACAGTATCTTTCAGGCTTCTTTTGATCTGCTTTCTCAATCTCTATGCTTTGAAATGCAGTTAGTTTTCCTTCTAGCTAGCCCACAATGCTCCAAGTCTATTATCCATAGCCTCTTTTAGTTATCCTTAAATTGACATAGGCAATTTCAGGACATATCTAAGTTCTACAGTTGGATTCTGGAGGAATTTCTTGATCTCTGCATAGGAATGCTTGTGTAATACAAGATGGGTACAATTTGGTCCTAATTCTGAACTCCTCTTCACTCTTACATTCTCTTTGGCTCTTCTCTGGGCCGTATAGTGCAGAATCTGAACATTATCAACACTCTATTTCCAGATACTCTTCCTGAATAGGATTCCAAATAGAGGAGACACCAAACATTTCCATATATCATATCATTTCATTTCCAACAACTTGATTCTCAAAACTACTAGGATTCCATGTTAACTAAAGCTGCACTTAACTGCAATATCCTGACGAGGTACTTAATATATTTAAGTTAAAAAGGAAAAAAAGAAGGAGGAGGAGAAGGAAGAAGGAAGAAGAGAAGAAGAGGAGGATGGGGAGGAAGAGGAGAGGAAGAGGAAGAGAAAACATAGGTCTCTGTAGTTGATCCCTGAATGAAGAGACTGCGTGTATATGAAACCAGAGCAAGGACATTCTTGTAAGAAAAGATGATTAGTTACACAAAATACCAAAGAGGTAATGTTGTCTTAAAGAAGGGTTATTCTCATAAAGAATTCAGTCAAGATATTTTCTAAGCACAGATAGGAAGGTAACATATAGACACAAATTAACTTAGAGTATTATGCCAAGCATAATAAGAAATTTTCTGATTATGGAAGTAATTAAATAATCTGTCTTTTTAACTAGTTAGAATAGTTTGTTTTTTCTTAACTGTGTTAAAATTCAAATTGATGCTTATTTAGAAAACAGTCAAATGATGATGATTAGATTGCTTCACTGAATCTCTTACTGTATTCAAAAAAAGATAAAATGACTCTTCAACTTTAGCTAGGAAAATAATACATTGGAGAGTTGATTACACTTTTTTAAAAACCAATCTACAACCAATCTAGTTTAGGTGTTATGCAAGTTTTTCTTTTTCCTCAAGGCGTGTGAGTGTTGGTGAATAGAGATTCTGGTATTGGAATCGATAGTTCAAGTGTTTAGGATTATCATATGAACTGCACACTACTGCCTAGAATCTGGAAAACAATGTGACCCTAACAGCTTCAGTGACACCTCTAAGTCTAGCAGAACAGAACGTCTCTGGTCTGCTCCTCTCCAATCTCACGGGATTGCCTGGTGTCATCTTTTAGAAATTCTTCACTGACTACCCATCCTCTTTGAATTAAACTTAAATAAATAGCAAGAAATAATAAATACCAGGCCTGCAGGATTTATATTTTACTTTCACAGCCTCATTTCCCCTCGTCCCATGAATACTGTGTTCCAGTCACTCTGAACTATTCATTAGTGCCTCTTGAAGACATCTTCCTGATATTGCTTGTGCATTTTTGTACAAGCTGCTGCCTTCCTTCAATCCATCAGGAATGAGTACCTGCACTGATGATCTTCCCAGGTCATAGCTCAATCATTATTTCTTTTGTGAAACCTCCCCTTATGTCTCCAGACAGGATTCATACTTGGATCTAGTTGCTCTGATTCCAACTTACTCAAAATTCTCTGATTGTATTTTTCATGTTATTTCAGGGTTTGTTTTTCTAACACGTTTTTCTTCCATATTACATTACAATTATCACAAAGATATAGACTGTATTGTCTTTACCTTTTATACCAAGTCTCTATCTCAGGATCTGACAATTAAAAATGAACATTATTGGAAACTCATAATTAATATCTCAGTTGACTGGGCAAGCACTGCCCTCTGGTTTATCTGGTTCTCAAACAATTTTTCCCATGCTTGAATTTCTTGTTAAGTGTATGAATGGAAGTTAGCATTCAAGATTTATAGGATTCCCAGCCATGGATATCATATCAGGCATTAGTTATTAGGACTGTCTAGCATCCCATTCCTTCCTCCCTCATTTAGAGAAGCACTCAACTTGTTTCTTTGTGAACAAGCTGCTCTCTGTGTCCTGTGAGCATGGTAGCAACATCAATTAGAAATTTCATGACTTTCATCCCATTTGCCTCTTTAGCTGTCTGATTCTCTCTTCTGGGAAATTAAATATTGATAGAAAGAAAGAAAACACATGGAGTCAAATCATTGCGATGGCAGTGCCTTAAAGGGATGGTCCATTAGTTCCTTATCTCTAAAGCCTGGGAGTACTACTGGTTCCTGTCCCTTTCCGAGATCTCATTATTTCAGGTGTCCTTTCTGTTATTTTTATTTTACTTAAGTTAATTAGAGTAAAATTAAGAATTCATTACTTTGACAGAATAAAACATTTTGTTTCCAGAATTTGCCAGTTGCCCTTATCTTTATCATGAGCAATTTCAGCACAAGTGCATAACAACATAGCCACATAGAGTCTTTATATTATTGTAGAACCAGAAGCAAACCCTAGAGTTATTTCATTCACTTCATTTCCTTCTCACAGTTATAAAATCGCGGACACTTGTGAATTACTTCTTGCTTCTCATCATCACCCAAGGATCTCATCCACATGCTATTTACACCTTTGTCCAGATCATTATCTGTTTTGACAATCACTCTTCCTACTAACCACATTTCTAAAAGTTAATATCTTTTTGTCAGCAAAGGGTCTCACCATTGGGGTCTCTACAAGGCTAGGCAGTTGACAAGACATTAGTAGGGTACATTCATCAAATCACATCTTAGCATGTATCTTATGTTTATGCAAGGAAAAAATGAACGAATTTGCTTGCTTTAAGCAGAAATTACTGCTCCTTCTCTTTCACTCAGAGAAAACCAAATGTCTTACAGGTTTACATTTAATGCCTTTCATCTCCTTTTAAGTAAAAAAGAAGAGAAGGGCCTTTATTCTCCCCACAGCACATAACTCATTCAGCTTGTCTTATTCTTCTTAAGAAGCTGTGAACACTGACATCCAGGGAAGTATGCTAAGAGAAAGAGTTAATATACATAAACATGTAAAATAGAAGAAGAGGATATTGAAATTAAGTCAGATAAACTAGAAAAGTTCTTATAGGAAGAAGTATCCATAAAAATGTAAAAATATTTACAGTGAACTCTCTGAGTTAAGGTAGTAGCCTGAAATAAAAATTAGAACTGCATCACCATGGAAAAAATTCAAATGGAAAGAGAAATTCAGATTACCCAAAGAAGATTTTCACTGGCATAATTTTTTAAATTTTGAAATGTGTAGTATAGTTTACCCCCTAAACATGATATACCCTGAAACCAATTACAAAGCATGTTAAATCCTGTATTCTTCACATGTTGGATTTCTGTGAACTAAAGATGCCATATACACTGTATGTCTGTTAAGGTTATAAACTCAACATTTGTGATCCACAGTAAACGTGACTAATAAAATTTACAGTGGATTGCATTTACCTTAGATCTGAACTATTTCAAACGCCATGAAGGTTTTCCATCATGTTGTCTTATTTCCAAAAAGTGAACATGACCACCCAGAAACTTCTTCCGATACCCAGTTGAGGTTATTTAGAGTAAGCATCTATGAGACTACAGTTGTAATGCAATGTTTTATTTTCTATCTAATTTCTTTCCAAATACCTACCATGACTGTTGATCAAAGACACAAATGCTTTGCACAGAGTTCAGTGCATGGATTTCTGCCTTTACTTAAGTGTATTGCAAAGAAGGTTTATAGTTAGATCCTCTGAGTTAACACCCAGATTAAAACCAGATTACTTAATCCACTAGGGACTCATCTTCTTCTTTCCTAGAGTGGGGAGGATAAAATTACATATAAAAGTGCTACGAACTATAAAGCATAAAATATTTTATATAGGATAGGGTGTAACTTAGACATCATAGTGCACATATGTTCCAACTTCCGCAGAACCTGAGACACGCCATTACCAAGGATCAGAAGTAGACATTCCGAAGCTAGACTTTCTTCACATACCTGCTTCATATGTGGTGGCATGTGCAGTCATACTCCACGTGCTTGACCTCCTATTTTTGGTTACCATGACCGAGAACTCATACATGGTGTTTGGTTTGAGGCCTGTTGCTGTGTAACTCAGAGATGTTGTGTCTTCTGACTATACAAGTGGGAAATAAGCAAAGAAAAAAAATGAGCTCTATCAACTTGGTAAATCAAGACGTGTAAAAAGACTTTCAAATAAGCTAGCAAGAAAGGAGTCTATTTCCAAACAGCAGAAGAGCTGAGACTCAGCGCTGGCTCTACTCCCTTTCTGTCAACCATTTTCACTGGCTGATTGTACATCTAAAATATGATCAATAAAATCAGTGTTATGTTGTTCAAAGGGGCAGCTAGCTGATAAATTTTCCCAAGTGAGGCAATAACCAGTGACAGGACCAATTCCACTTCCTTCTGTCAATTCCATTTTTAAGGTTATCTGTACTGACTTTCACTTCAATGTATTTATAGTGATCAAAACATTTTTTTCAGAGGTTTTACGTTAAATATTTTATAAAGATTGTCATGATTATTTTCCACCAGCAGTAAAATTAATTTTTAGAGTTCTACTGCTTATGATTTTTTTAAAAAAAGGCTTTACAGTACAAACTTTTAGTGATTCCAGAATCTATTTGGCTATTATAAAGAAAATGGACAAAAGCAATGCTGTGTCGTGTGTCTTTTCTTTTGTATGCGCTTCATATTAAACATACATTTAAGTACGGTCACTGGGTGACTGACCAGGAAGAGAACAACAAATTGGATCAATATTAAAGCATTGTATTAGGGTTAGTATTATCTGTCTTCCGAATCCATTTTATCTTTCACAAGTTAAAAATATTTTAGTAGAAAGTAAATTATCTGTTTTTATTGTTTACTCAAAAGATCAAAATAGCAATAAAGAAAAAACAGGTTTAATGTCCCAAGTTAATGCATATTTTCTATATGATTAGGCAAATTTAAGACTTTTTATGCCTCTTATAAATATCAATTTATGCTTGATATTTAGATCTTGATCCTCTTCCAAAGTTAGGTATTTATTTTTACTTTTATATTTATGACATTTTTTATATATCTATGTCTAAAAAGTCAGGTAAAGCTCTTTTCCCCCACCTATGTGATACCCATCTCCTTCCTCAGTCCTCTAATGTGGTATATCTTTTTTATTCCACCATGAATCCATCTTAGATTATAGCTATGAAAATCCTACATCTCATTACAAAACCAAATAAATATTTAACTGTACTAATAACATTCTGATGATGTGCCCATCTATCTTATTAAAGTGATGACCTTGTAAACATCTATCAGAAGCTCTTCTTAAAAATAGGTGTAAAAATGTGTGCCCTAAATAAATGTAAAAATACTTGATAGACTCAGGAAGATGGAATCCTATCAAATAAAACACAAAATGGGCAGCTAGGATCTGACATGCTGATATATAACTTCCAATCTTGCCCTCCTTCACTATCATGAACACCCGAGTCTTAGAAATGGAAATAAGGGGAGAAATGGGACAACAAGAAATATTCCAGCGAGGAGGGAAGGATTGCACTGATAAAGCTAGTCTCTTTGAGCATAGACACCACTGGCATTTGGGAGGCCACTAAGCAATATTGTGTTCTCGTTTATGTTCTAAAATGACATGCTTACATTCTATAAATACCATGAATCACTGAGCTTTCTTAGGAACTTCCTGGAAGGTTACTATTCTTCATAAATCCTTAATCCCAGAAGTACTTCAGAAAAACATAGCCACTTATTTTTGTGAGTATAGAATACCCAGGTACTACCTCTCTGAGCCTCAGTTTCTTCATTTATAAAATGGAGATAACCATAGCACTGATTTCATAATTATTTATAATGAGAAATAAGTCAAATAAAACACAGCCTCTGCCCCAGACTAAGTATTAAATAAACGTTAGCTGCAAGATTTTATGCATTGTCTAATGTGATATACAATTTTAGGCATGTGTTAAATTCCCTATTGAATTATAAGCATCTTGAGGACTGAGAATGAGTCTTGCACAATTTTGTATCTTCTGTAATATCCATGCTATATCTAATAAGCACTAGTAAATAGCCAATGCATGTACTTTGAATCAAAATTCATATAAAACATCATGTGGTTAATCACTTTAGTTGAAAAGAAATTACAGAAAATTTCTCCATTTGATGAGGAAAGTCAATAAAGAGTTTGGACAATCAAAATACGAATATCTGCATTATAGTTTTATTTGGGACTAAAAGAAGGACCAGAGTACTCCTGATTCCTGGGTGGAGAGCCCTGGATAATGCCATCAGGTCATCTGAGTTCCAGCTCAAGTTTAATGGGAAATTTCTGTCAAAGTTGTACAAATCACCTGTATCTTCATAAAGACATCTACATACTTACTTAACTATCAAGAATCTACCTATTCTTTTTACAGTAGGTGTGAATATCCCAATCATATAGATTGAAAAAGTGAGACTGACCAATTTAAGTGACATGACAGGACATAGCAAAGCCAACTCTTCAGCTGGATCATTTGATTCCATGTATATATTCTTCCTCCTCTGTCATGTGTATGCCCTGCCTACTTTATATAGCTGTAATGCGAAGTGAGATATGACAGTGGTTTAAAAAGTTCAAAATGCAAAACCAAAGCATTCTATTCCCATTATTTGTAGAATTTAAGTTTATTGTATGTCTTTGTGGTGGACCTGATATATTCTACACTTTTCCTTGCTACCCAAAGCACCGAACTCTTTCCTCTAACAGTTCCATTTCTCGGGGTGTGGATGTAGAGTATGTATGTGTGTATGTGTAAGAAGGGGAATAGAATGTTAGTAACTGAAAGCCATAGGTCTGGGAAGATGATGGAGAGAGGAACAGTTAAAATCTTTTTTCCATTCCCAAACTTCAATTCTCAATGAGAGAAATCAGCCATTCCTTACAGAGGATAGTTTTTAGGTTGGGTCTCACTTTACAGACATTCTTCATGAGACTCAATAATTCTCTCTCTGCTATATTAACTCTTCAGTTGAAATAACGTGCCTCAAGAAATTTTGGAACTCAAAACATTCTGCAGAAAACAATCATTGTCCTTCAGAACATTTCACATACTGGCAAAGTACCCATGGCTATTTTGTGAAATGATGTATTTACCGAGTAGAGCAAGTATAAGCATAAAACTTTTAAAGTAGTCTTTTTAAAGTAAATTTAGAATTGGGCAATCTGTATATAAAGAGAGACTTTTTAAAAGTGCTTTCATACGTTTCATCGGTTGTCTTATCTGATAATGTTATCTTTATTTATATTTCCACTAAACCTTAAATTTAATACTGTAAGAGATGGATAGGGTACTTACAACATACCTTATATCAATGATACTATTTGACTTGCCTGGAGAGTTTTTCCAAATGCCTGACATAGCAGGGCGGCAATACCAAAGAAAACTATTTTTTAAATGCTTTCAACCAAAAACTGATTTATGATGAAATGTGAATTTTATGCCACTTAAAAGCTGAAAGAGACTAAAAGCAGATCCAGCATGGCTACAGAAAGAAAGAGTCAGACTTAGAAAATTATTGGTGGGATTTTGCCTTATCTCCAGGGTCTTTGGCATCAGAAATTCCCAAAGGATATTTTCGTCCCCTAAATCACCACTGGCTTGAGGCTGGATTAAGCAAGATGACAGTTTATTGGAAAGAAAATTGGATAAAGTATCAGGAGATCCAAATTCTCCTTGAGAGCTACTCTAGAGAGTGGTAAAGAGATGGGATGTAAGGAGAATATGAAGACGCTAGGGGGCCGGGGTTGAACTATTAGTTCCTTGGTTGTTGGGTAACATTTATGCTCCTATTTTCAAAGCTAGCTTCCTCATGCCAAACCATCATCTTGTGAAGCTGTATATTTTAAATGTGTTTTCATATATTATCTCATTTGAATAACTTAGGAATTCTTTGAAGTATATTTACGGAGCTGAGTATATTACTCATTCCAAAATTGTAAGTAATATGTAAAGTAACAACAACTAAACCATGTTTAACACCCTCTGTGAACTAAAACAGTTCTAGGTAGTAGGTGATTGACAATCACATGTTGATCTTCTCATTTTTGTCCTGATTTGTGTATTGTTTGCACACACTAACATTGTGGCAGGATGGAAGTAACAAAATTGTCCCAGTCCGCAACTATCATTGGAGTTGCTGAGGCTGGCTGATAGAGATTTGAAAGTAGTAATGACAATGTCTCAAATACGTATCTCTAAGCAGCTTTAAGGGGGTTGTGAGATGAGTCAGTGATAGGCCAGGAATAAGGGGGCTGGTCTGATTTATGTTAGTTAGAGGGGAGGGTGCATTATGGGTTTTCTTTGTCTCATGAGGGTGTTTCGAGGCTAAATGAGGATGTAGATGCTAAGGGCTTAGAGCACTTTCTCAGGATGTTAGAAAAAAGCTTCAAGTTATATATTCCCGGTCATATTCACTGTAAGATGGGTCTCTGTAACAAAAATAGGGTTGCCTTTGGTGTCAATCTAGGTTCCAAATGAAAAGAAAGACACAAAAATCTACCCAGGAAATTACTGTGGAGTCCTGCTATTTTCAAAGGAAAATGGCATTTCCTTGCACAGACGCAAATTATTTATACAAACCCAACATCTGGTGGAATTCAAATAACATTTTGCAGCTCCTGATGACTTTCTACCTTGCCTTAGAATTGTTTCCTAAAACATAATTATTCTGTGCTAATTTTAGATATTGAGTTATTAAAATGCTTTGTTTTTCCATATAGTGTCACTGCAGCAAAATGACTCATGGCAGTCCAGGAAGCATTTAAAACAATGTATTAAACAAATGACTGTTCATTTTCAATTTCATGCTATCAATTAGAACTTCACCTTGTATTTTGCGTTCGCAGAAAAGCTGGTCCTCCACCGGACTGTGTAAAGTCGTACTTCGGACGTTTTTTGGTTCTTAGGGACAGAGTTGTCTGCCCAGCTGACCCTCACGGCATCATGGGTAAGAGCCACAGCCTGTACACCTACTGGTGGGAGCATGGGGGTGGAGACATCTGGGACCGAGGTGGGGAAATCATCAAGCAAAGGATAATAATCAACTGGGTCAGTGGGATCTGGGTTTACAAACCCGCCAAATGAAACAAACAAATACGTAAAGAAAAGAGTTAAAAAAACAAATATCAGTGGTAACACATCACAATGAGTTAAATGCATGGCAATAATGATGAAAGAGAACATGAGAAGAACAGAAAAAAATACAATTAATTCAATCGGAAAACTCATCAAAAACAGTATTGCTACATTACAAAAATAGCTGACTATTTTCTATAATTTACTCATTTCCTTAGGGTGGTTTTATCAATTTGGCTGTCACTTCTAGTTATATATTTAAAAAGTCCATTTCTTCCTAGAATGTTGCACATTGCTTCTTAAAAGATCTAGTATAAAACTTATCAGTTTTATAACTACACAGGTAACTTGAAATAACAAGATAAAAAGGAGCATCTGGTTTATTTCCTCCTGCAAAAGAAATAAATGCCTATCTAACAAGTGGTTTTTTTGTTTATTTGTTTGCTTTTCTCTTCCTTCTCTAACTTGATTTGGTTTCTCTAACGCTTTCAACACTGCTTAGCTTATATCTGCATAAATAATGTTTAAGCAAGAAAAAGAAAACAAATGATAAAGACCAAAGGACCCTGAGGACTACAGCAATCTGTCTACAGCTGTGATTACACAAAGCCAGGCTGATCAAGTCCACAGGATTCAAGGGTACATCAGTTAATTGGGTTTCAGGCAGCACTTGGTGTAGCAGGTTTCCTTAGGTTGAAATCCTTAGAGAAAATGTAGAAGCGTACATTTTACCTATAGTCTCACAGAGTAATTAACTCAGTTTTTAGTTCTAAAATTTCAAGGTCCATGGGAAGACTTTATCCTCCTGGATGGAGAGACAGAAAGAACCACCCACAGGCTGATGAGATTTGTGCTGAGGTACACGCATGCTTTGATCCCTAACATAATCAGAATCTGCATAATGATGTGTGTACTTTTATAAAATTCTCTAGAAAGCTCTTGTACTCATTTTTATGCTGGAGATATCCAAATCAGAGGAGCTTATTTCGTGGCCACAGGAAAAGTCCAATTTTGAGCCTTGTATTTTATATTTAAGACATTTAAAATTTTGCCTTTAAACTATGTAACGTGTATTCTCACCAACAAAATACGAGATGAGTTCTCAGGCTGGGCCTGTGATGACCTTCGGGAGCTGAGACCTACTAAAATGTGGAGGATCTGAAGCAGGGCACACACAGAGTTTATATTTTTAACAGTCTAGTTCCGAGCGCAGTGGCTGCTGACTGGTTTTGATGATTATTGCACTTTGTCCACTGCATTTCAAATGTCTATTCCCTACGCATCACTCTGTTTTCCAATGAATTATTTAGTAGTTTACCGGGCTGTGGTCTTTGGAGCAAAATATAAAACCCGAAAACAAAAAATAGAACGAGAGGAAAGGAGAAAACAAGAGAGAGAAAGAAAAATGTGTGTTTAAAATTTAATGACAGAGCCCAGGCTTCCCGTCTTTCTTTTGATGTGTCTTTTTATTAAGGGCTCCTTTAAACCCAAATGGATCTATGAAATGATGAAGGGGGAGCTGAAGACCCTGCAGCCTCCAGGAGGATCCCAATCAGTCATTAGGTTGGTGCATCAGTGGGAGGTGTTTTTGCCAAACTAAAGCGGGTGCTGCCTCACATTACCTGTTTCTGTCCTTGGCTGACTTTCCAAGAAGACTGTTATATAAACAGGACAACTACTCTGAATTACAAACCCCTTTTTGACCAACGTACATTAATGAGTTACCCTATTTGTTGTTTCTCTGCTTAATCTAGTTTTGCTGGTAAAGTTATATTCACTGTATGGTCTTTCACAGTTACCATGTCTAAGGTTTTGAAAACTGGTGATTGTACATCAAGAAACGGTAATACTCAAACCTACTATTTCTGAATTTTGGAATAGTATACTTTTCAAGACATGTTGTTGAGTTTCTTGGAGTCTCAGCTCTAGAAGGCGCCCTTCAAATTTCAAGTAACACTATTTACTGGTATTGTTCTATGAAGTTACGTAATTCAAAAATTTCTACCCTTGGCCAAGTTATTGCTGCCTATTTTAGGGAATTTTCTTTTCAGGCATGGCTTGTCATTCGACTTGTCACTTCCTCTAGAGCTGCATTGTCTAACACAAAAGCCACTAGTTACAAGAACGATGTAAATATACATTAATTAAAATCAAATACAATTAAAACTTCACTGCTTCTGTTGCACTAGCCAATTTCAAGAGCTCAATGACCACATGAGCATGGTGTCTATCATATTGGATAGTGGAGATATAGAGCATTTCCAACAAAGTAGCATATTCCAGTGGGTAGCAAGCATTGCTCTAAATACATACATGCTACATATATTGCTAATTATCTTTTCTCTCAGGACAGAAACTGTTTGAGTAGTTGAGTTAAAACCATTCTTTTGTTGGTAAATAACTTTTTTTCGGTTCTTTTTTTTTCATACTCCTGGGTGCCTTATATGCTGTTGATTTTCAGCTATTGTATTCAAAAGAGTAAAGTAAATAAATAAATAACAAGTGAAAAAGACAAAATACAGCCTCGAATCTTTTGCTAAAAAGAGAAACCTATTCAATTCCTAACTGATGTTTTGCTGAGAGCCCATGAATTTCCAGTCCATATACTAAAGTTCAAAATGAGCTTTTTTTGAAAAAAATACAATTTTACCTTTAGATTGTACCTCATTTAGGCGTTGATAAAATAGTTGAGAATAAACAAATTCATACCACACACCTCATTATTGCCCAGCCTTCTTCCCTTCTCCAGGCTCAAAATGTCTTGTTCTTTCAACAATAAGAAATAAAAGGCTTTCCAGCAAAAGACGAAACTCTCAACTTGCCCATTTGACCTGGTGAAACTTTCCTCAGCTTTAATACTGATACGCTCAGGAAGAGATGAGGCTCCAGGGCGCACCAACATCTTTGAGCATATGCGTGTAAAAAGCACCAGTGCCCGATACTTACTCTAGCCTGACGCATTTATTGCCTCTGACTTTTTATTTACTTTACGCTGGCCTCTTCCAAGACTGCCCATGGGAATGCTTTGTAGAAGCTCAGAGACAGCGAATGTCTTCTGTGTGGCTCTATGACACATTTATTGATAGAGTTTCTCCCAGAACCTTAACCTTTGATTCTGTTTATTTGTCCTTTGTTCTCCATGATGTGTGGAAACACAATAAAATAAGTCTGCCGCATCCAGGAAAAGTATATGCTTATCCTTTGAGAAGGGCTCGTTTCATTCATTCCTCTCCAACCCCTTCCTGGCTTTTCTTCAATAGGGAAATTTCTCACACAATTTTCAACTTTTGCTGTCATTTAATTTCTCAGATCCATTAGGATTAGAGTCATATCAGGAAAAAAAATTGTCTTATGGATCACTGGTGTTTTAGAAACCCCTCTGGGAATGCCATATGCTGAGAACTGAAGATGTCAACAAACGTTAAGGGAAAAGAAGTTAATAACGCCTCAAATGGTTCTTCCTGAGCAACTTTTCAGTTTATCTGAACTCGACCATCTCTCCAACTACTACTTCTCCTCAAAAATTGATTTCCTTTTATTTTTTGAGGAAGATTAGCCCCTGAACTAACATCTGCTTCAAATCCTCCTCTTTTTGCTGGGGAAGATTGGCCCTGAGCTAACATCTGTGCCCGTCTTCCTCTATTTTATGTGGGATGCCTGCCACAGCATGGCTTGACAAGCAGTGTGTAGGTCCGCACCTGGGATCCCAACCGGCAAAACCCAGGCCATTGATGCAGAACATGTGAACTTAACTGCTGCACCACTGGGTTGGTCCCTCTCTTTTTTTCTTTTTTTTTTTTTGTTGTCTAAGTGACCTTTCTTTGAGGGCTTTGGTTTTGGTATGAAAATAAGAGTTTTGAAAGACTAGCCATAATATAATTTTGAGTGGCCTGATCACCAGCTCAAAGTCACATCAAGGAGCAGTTGCTCAACTGCTTGTACCACGTGCAGGAAAGAGATGGCTTGCTATTAAAAATTATGGGACACACGTGTACAACCAAAGTGGCCTGCTGTTTCTCAGAGAAACTTGCTGCTGGCAGAACAAGAAGAAGGGGAACTGAAAATCCCAAACAGCCTGCATCATGTTACCTCGTAGTTTCCTTCCCGAATCTCTATTTGCCTTCTCTCTCCATATTTAGAGATAACATACTTGACAGTAAATATTCTCTAGGGTAATACTTCTTATTTTCCCTTTTTGAGGAGTCATGAGTCCCTTTGATAATAGAATGAAAGATATATAGTATCTCCATAGATAAATGAACATATTGGCCTGTAACTAAAATTTTGCATACCATTTTAGGTAGATCATAGATCTTGAAACCAGCAGCCAAAGATTCAAGGAGATTCTGGAAGAACAACTTTGCCTTACAAGGAAACCTGGTTGAAATCAGTAAACTGATGACATGCTCTGGAAACCATCACATCCAACTATGAATTCACTTTACAACTGTGTATTCTCAAGATCGTCTATGAAAGGAGCTTCCGGGTTTGGAAAACAAACTGTACAAAGTTCACATAAATTTAGGTGGTAGCAGAAGTCACAGGGTCCCACTATTTATTTTATGTTCATTTATTCCTACTTGTCAGGACTTCATACTCAGCCATCCAGGAATTTTCCATGTTCTCTGGTGCTTGCTGTCAAATCTTACTCTCAAGTCCTTTATCTTCGTTATGATGAAAATAGCTGATAAGTTAAATGAGGTCTGAGGGTCGTGAGTTTTGAAAAGGGGCAGGATCAAAGTATTCAATAAAAAGATGGAACTCTTGGGTTTTACTCTCAGATTTCAGACCCAAGACAACTGGAGGTGGTCATGTGATTTTTCAGTAGGACTCTGAACATGTGAGTTTCCAGTGAGCCTACAGAGATGTTACTTATTCCATTTTTGAGTAAGCCCAGCCTTGCTCACAAACAGCCTCCACAAATGGCTTGGATCTCACTTCCTTACCCATCCTTTTCTCAATTCCTTGAGCCCTTTTTCTCTCCTGTGCTTCCTTCACAGTCCAAATCACATAGGACTTCCTACAAGTGCTAAGCCCTTGAAGCACACCTTCCTTTTAATGTCCAGAGGCCCTGGGCAGTGTCGGGCTCTCCTGCAGGCCCAGTTCAGGAAGAAGCCGCCTGTGCGACTCAGCCCCGTCCAAGCCAGCCCCAAGAAGTCAGTTCATCTTTGTCGCATTAGCTTGAAGGACCCTCTGCAGGAAGCAAGTGTCAATCTGGGCACTTGGCAGCCTTTGTGCAGACACTCTCCTGCCTAAATTGCATTGATTTGAAACAAGCTGCTCAGGAGAATGAAGAGAGCTATGGGGGCACCAAAATATCAAACTACTGGGAAATGAAAGAGAATGAAAGATCTATATTGTCTAAGTCCACAGATTAATTTATAGACTAAATTCCTCTCTCTTAAGCTCGAAAACCGAAAAAATAATAAATTGTGTGTGTCTACACACACACACGTAAAGCTCAGAACATGACTGCACTCATTTTTGGGCTTTCTTTTCTTTGTATTTTGTTTTATTTTGCTTCAGTTAGTTACTTAGTTGTTTAGTTTTTTTTTTTTTTTTTTTTTTTAACCGTAATTCAAACACTGACTACCTTGTCACAAGAGGATGAACTATTTTAGCTTACCTGTTATAGATCTGGTGGTGGCACTTTCGTACAGAGGAACTCCTTCTCCTGCATTGTTAAAAGCTTTTAGGGAGATTACATAATGGGAACTTGACTCTGGAGGAAAACAGAAAGAATACAATAAGTTGATTTATTTAGTGCACTGAAATACGGTAAACATTTTCCTGAAATCAAAGTTAATATAATCAATTAAGTAAATTGTTGTTAAAAATGAGTGAGCTCGATTCTGGGAAGAAGGTGGCAATGGTAGCAATATAGTTTTTTGATCTTCCTGAATCTCCACCTAAAAAGAGACTGAAATGACAAGACAGAAAACCAATAGCATCTGGACATTTACAACAAAACTAGGTGATAAGGTATGTCTTCAAACCCTAAAACACAAGTGAATGTGGACACACTAACAACAACCTTAAGATCTGCATGTTATCAGCATCTGTAAGAGAAATTGGAGAGAAGCACCAAACGTGAAAACAGGACAATTCTAAAATAATGACCAGGTAATGCTAGAAAGTGCAGTAGAGCTGTTTGATGCCAGTAAATATAAATATTCTAAATGGCAAAGCCTCCTTTCCAAGACAGGGTTCACAGTAGAGACAAACCACTGGGAATAAATTTAAAATTTGAGCAGGACTTGGGGCCGAGACGGTGGCATAGTGGTTAGGTTCACACACTCTGCTTCGGCAGCCTAGGGTTTGCAGGTTTGGATCCTGGGCACAGACCTACACACTGCTCATGAAGCCATGCTGTGGTGGTGTCCCATATAGAAAAAGTAGAGGAAGATTGGTACAGATGTTCACTCAGGGCCAATCTTCCTCACCAGAAAAATAAATAAATAAATAAATGAGCAGGACAGAAACAATAGAAATGAGGGAAGAGAAAGTCCAGATAAAAGCAGGACAGAAAAATAGTCATGAAAACTTAGACAGCAGGCTGCCATAGTTTTTAGTGTGTGTGTCAGGGGTTGACCAACTTTTCTGTAAAGGATCCAGATGGTAAATATTTTAGTTTTGCACACCACTTCAACTCTGTCACATATTCACCTGTTTGTTTCTTTACAGCTCTTTAAAAATATAAAAACCATTCTTAGCTCAGTGGCATTGAAACAAAAACAGGCCCTGGATCAGCTTTGACCCCCAGGCTGCAGTTTGCTGAGCCTTAAGCCCCGGTCTAACAAAAATGGCAGATTTTCTACGTATTTAGAAAATCTATTTGAGGGGCTGGCCCAGTGGCGTAGTGGTTAAGTTCACTCACTCTGCTTTGGTGGCCAAGGGTTTGCTAGTTCGGACCCTGGGTGTGGACCTAGCACCACTTATCAAGCCATGCTGTAGCAGTGTCCCACATAGCAGAACTAGAAGGAGCTACAAGTAGGATATACAACTATGTACTGCAGCTTTGAGGAGAAAGAAAAAGAGGAAGATTGGCAACAGATGTTAGCTCAGGGCCAATCTTCCTCACCAAAAAAAAAAAAAGAAGAAGAAGAAGAAAAGCATAAAAAGAAAAGAAAAGAAAAGCTATTTGAACTTCTAGGAATGTAGGGAAATTAATCACATGAAAGGAAGCAACAAAAATCTGTGGAGGTTAAATTCCTTACAAAATAAAATGAAGAAAATATCCTTCCTATAGACAAATACACACACAAAAAGGATCAAATATACACAAGAAAAAGATCAACCTGCATTGTACTATTTCTAAATGAGCTAAACACCATTAAGAAAATGAAATGCCAGATAGGCAAGAGTAACATAAATTAGAAAAAACTCAAAAATTAGGTGACATAACCCAAGAAAGAACTATACGTAAGTGAAAAAAAAATTATAAATAAAGGGTCTCGAAATGAATAAATAACCACAACAAGGAGGAAAAAAAATACCAAAACAAAGAGAAATCAGAGAGAATACAAAAGAATTCAGGAGAAAGTGACAAATATTAGAGAAGGAACATCTAACATAGGAATAACGATCGTCCTTAAGGAAGAAAATGAAAGAAAGCGAACAGAACAAATACTGAAAAAGGGAATTCAAGAAATTTTTTCTAACTTAAAAAATCTTTTAGGCATCTGGACAGAAAGAATATATGATTTATAAGGGGGAAAATTAGATTACTAACAGACTTTGCCAACAGCAACATTTTATGTCAGAAGAAATTGGAGTAATTTATTTGAGATATTCAAGGTAAGAAAATATGATTCAAAGATTTTATAGCCAGCAAAAGTTAACTTTAAATATAAAGGGTACACCCAAACTGTTATGAACTTGCAAGCAATCAGGAAATATTCTTCCCCTGGTCCCAAGAACTACTAGAAAATGAGGTTTAGACATCCGAAATGACCAGAGGAGATACCGACCTAACAGCTAACTGGTGAACAATAAATTTGATGAACTAAGATAAAGGGAGGGTTAAAAAGGGAGAGACTTTATTCTGTAACAGGTACATGTTCTGGTATTGTAGATATCCTACAATCAGAAGGCAAAATTAGGGAGAATAGGGACAGTATATGCAAAAATAAATGTTTCAATAATTATTATTGATGGTGATACTATTATTATTATTGTTCTGAGACTAATGTAATATGGGATAAAGGAGATAAGTAATCCTGAGAAATTCTAATTCTATCCTCCTCGTGTCCTTGAGAATCAGATTCTTGGCATGGATGGAAGGTTATGCAGATGTAAATCAGAAGAGGTTAAGTCAAGTCTTGTGTTCCCAAGATTCAACTGGAAAAATCAGTTTAAGCTCAAAAAGTATTTTATCTCTGTTCTAGCTCTGTCCACCACAGAAGTCTAGAAACATTGACTCTTTAACAACAAGCATCCTCAGTACCCAGACTGGGATTTTGAAAAAACATTTTGCACTGCAAGAAACAAGGGCTTCTTGAAGAATTGGTTGATGTCTGGTCTGAGGTAGGAAACATATTAATCGAGCCTGAAACATCTTGACACACTAGATAGAAAGGAAACAACCAAAGACCAATAAGATCAGGTCAAATAGATTCAGGAATCACTTTGAAGAGTTGCCCACAGACCAAAGATGAGGACATTCTGAGCTTCCATAAAGATAAGCGTTGCAATGAACTGAAACCCAACAAATATATATAATTGCATGAATTCATAAGGATATTGTAAAGAAGAATAAGAGTTGGTCACTTCTAAGGTTGACAGAACCAAATGATTATCTTGAAAATTGGGTAAAGAATCTAATATTTACCATGTTTTTCTTAAATAAACCCTATCACTCTGTAATCAAACAACATATGAGAAAGTCTCTCCTTACAGTATTATTCTGACTAACAAATAAAAATCCAATGATAGAGTTCAAATTTTGCTATTTTGCAGCCCCAGTGAACAAATGGCTCTGGGCATGAAGCATTCAGGATTGCTCAGATAAAGACATCTAGACATTATATGCCTCCTAATGAAAACACACTACCCTCTAGAGTCTTGCCAAAGGGATCGAACACACTCAGTCTGATCAAGCCTCTAGATCCCAGTGCCAGTCTGCAGGAAAAAGAGCAAAGGAGCAGGTTCAATTCTGACTTATCATAAGTCATTACTCTGGACATTTGTTGCATGTGTTTTTCTGTATCTGAGTTTTACTTTACAATAAGAAATCTTTAAAAATAGGTGAATTTATCTCTGACATTATTCTTTGCAAATTGATCAAATGGATTTTCCTCCATGAAATTTTTATGTGACTAAATATTAGCATTAAAGATATTGACATTCCAAACCACAATGACACAAGCACCACAGTATAAGAAGAAGAAGAAAATAAAATTATATGTAATGTAGTCACAGGGTTTCTATTCAGTGAATTGCTTCTTCCACAAGAGGAGGTATTTATTTTTTAATTTATGTTGCCAAACTAGTTGACTAATTAGAAAGTAATCAATCAACAAGTGTTAAACACTCTTGGAGATCCAAGAATATTTGTAAAAGATAGACCGTTGCTGTCAGCTTACAATCATAATTCTGGGCAGAGAAAACAAGGAAAGACTACATAAAATTAAGCAGTAAAGTGTGCAAGACATCTTATGAATGTTATAGAAACTTAGAGGGCTGAAAAATAAATGAGGGATTGGGTCATCAAAGACTTCTTGGCAGATACAGACTTGGAGCTAGGGTTTGAAGTCATGGGTAGAGCTTAGAGGTAGAAGGATGATAGGAGGAGAAAACAGGTCAGAAAAAAGAAGGGAAATGTTGCAAACACAGTTACATCGGTCAGCAAAATACTTTTCTACTAGGAAAAATATCCTTTATAGTTATTGGAGTGGAGACTAAGTCTGATTTCAAAAAGGTGATTTATCTACACAACTACAATATAAACATTGACATTAGGTTCAAACCATATAAAATTACCTTTTTGTGGGTCAAATTGCATTTGATTTCACCTAACAGTCATATCCTATATATTTGCACTTTCCTATGTGTTTGTTTGTCAAGGAAGTGAGAGATTAGGAATTCAAAATTCACATGCTTAGGAGTGAAGGTTTTGATTGTTTTGTTCCTGCTTTTAAGTCTGAGAGAGGGAGGAAGAATAAGAGAGAGAGAGAAATTGGGCCACAGAATATCAGAGGCAGTAGGACCGGCAGGATCCTAGACAGTAATTCATCTAAGGAGCAGAGGGAGCCACCACTCAGCTGTAAGATATTACTGGCATATGGAAGGCAGGGCTGGTGTTGTGAGATTTTCTGGAAATCCACATTTTTATGTGAAATCATCAAATTTTCAAACGGCGAATAATTTAAATAAACAAGATAAACCTGTGCTGGCCAAACAAAACATATTTCTGTACTGAAACTAGGTCTAGGGCCACTAGTCTATAACATCAGATTCCTTCAAACACAACTACATGCAAATATACACCTAGCGTGGGAAAATAGATAATGAAGTCTGGACTTCCCTACTCAAGATGTCACCCATAACGTCAACAGCCACTCATTAGAAACTGTATTATGTGGTAGGGAGGGTGAATATAACATAACAAAGCAGGTGCTCATTGATGCAAAGTGACTGAGTATGATTGTTTCATGTTGACCTCTCCAATTTAGATCGGAATTCAGAGCGAAGAACGGTCTAGTTCATCAAGAATGCTTGAAC